GGGTTTAAATTGAATAAGTTAAAAACCAAGGTTTTAGAGAAAAATTTAACACCAATGGAGAGAGAGAGGTTTCAGAATGAGACAGGTTTAACAGTGGTTAAGAAAGTTAAATACCTGGGGATTAACATGACAGCAAAAATGGGAATTTATTTAAAGATAACTATGAAAAATGTTGGGCTGAAGTGAAAAAAGATTTAGAAATTTGGTCAAATTTGAAGCTTTCACTGCTGGGCTGTATTGCTGCGGTAAAAATGAATGTATTGCCTAGAATGTTGTTTTTGTTTCAAACATTGCAAATTGTGGACAAAATGGACTGTTTCAAGAGGTGGCAGAGAGATATTTCTAGATTTGTCTGGCAGGGCAAGAAGCCCAGAATAAAATTCAAAATATTAACAGATGCAAAGGAAAGAGGTGGATTTGCCCTGCCAGACCTCAAACTTTATTATGAATCAGCAGCTTTTTGCTGGTTGAAAGAATGGCTGCTTCTTGAAAACACTGACATTTTGGATTTAGAAGGTTTTAACAATGTATTTGGATGGCATGCATATCTGTGGTATGATAAGGTCAAAGCACATAAAGCATTTAAAAACCATATTGTCAGGAAAGCATTGTTTAATGTCTGGATAAGATATAAGGATTTATTGGAAAATAAAACACCAAGGTGGCTGTCACCGATGGAAGCGAAAGCTCTGAAAAAGCTCAATATGGAGGTCAAATGGCCGAAATATTGGGAAATTTTGGAACAAGATGGAGATAGATTGAAACTGCAGAGTTTTGAAAAATTAAAAACAAAGTGCGAGACTGGCTTCATTATTATCAGATAATGGAGGCATATAATTTGGACAAGAAAATTGGCTTCCAGGTGGAAAAATCAAAATTAGAAACAGAATTGTTAGAACCCAAAACTAAGATTTTGTCAAAGATGTATAACTTGCTGTTGAAATGGAATACTCAGGATGAAACGGTGAAATCTGCTATGATTAAATGGGCACAAGACGTTGGACATAATATAATGATGGCTGACTGGGAACAGTTATGGACCACAGGTATGAAGTTTACGGCATGTAATGCCCTAAGAGAGAATATTATGAAAATGATATACAGGTGGTACATAACCCCAGTCAAGCTTGCAAAAATCTACCATTTGCCCGATAACAAATGTTGGAAATGTAAAGAAACTGAAGGTACATTCTTTCACCTTTGGTGGACGTGCCCAAGGATTAAGGTTTTCTGGGAGATGATTTATAATGAATTAAAAAGGTATTTAAATATACCTTCTTGAAGAAACCAGAGGCCTTTCTCCTGGGCATAGTCGGCCAATCAGTGTTAAAGAAGGACAGAACTTTCTTTATGTATGCTACAACAGCAGCAAGAATACTTATTGCAAAACATTGGAAGACACAAGATCTACCCACACTGGAGGAATGGCAGATGAAAATGATGGACTATATGGAATTGGCAAAAATGACTGGCAGAATCCGAGACCAGGGAGAAGAATCGGTGGAAGAAGATTGGAAGAAATTTAAAGATTACAGAAATATTGCAAAATTAATGAATGTTAGAATGATGACGGATTGAAGTTAAGAATATGGAAAAATTGGTTTTTAATTTCTAAAAATTTAATGTTATAATATATCAAGATTAAAGATCAGGATTAAAAAGGAGGGAAAGGAATCACTGGACTAACAAATTGAATTAGAACACAAAAGAGGGAGGTATGAGGAGGTCCAGGAAACAAGTAAATGTAAAAGAAGTGATGAAAAGATGGAATTGTTTTTAACTGTTTTTTCTTTTTTGTACTTTGTATTTTGTATTTTTCCTTTTTATTGTTAATTTTCTTATTAATGTGATCTTTTTCTTTTGAAATTTTAATAAATATCATTATTTTTTTTAAAAAAAGGAATTAAGAATTCGTTTGCAAGAAGCTAGAGCCAGATCTGACGGAGCTTCTGGAGGGGGCTTACTGAACCGGTCTTTGACGCTGGTAAGCAAATTCAATGGAGACCCCAGACTGTATATGGGCTTCAAACTGGACATGCAGTATGCTCTTGAACTGCAAGGAGCTGCTTTTGCTGGGGATGCTGATAAGGTGGGGTACTTTATAGGCCATTTGACTGGGGCAGCGCGAGATTGGGTACGCCCACTGCTTGCTAGCCATAATGCTGCGCTCAGCAATCTCAAACAATTCTGGGAAGCGATGGACGTTATGTTTTCATTTGGATCAGAGGACGATGTGACCCAGCAGCAGCTATTGGATCTCCGGCAGGGGAACTCAACTGTGAGGGCGTACTGGTCCCAATTTGTGATGCTGGTGCACAAGCTTGATTGGAGCTTAAACTCAAAGCCTGTGCAAGCTTTATTTAAGGCCGGACTTAATTCTCAGGTGAAAGATGAGCTTGCCAGGGGCTCCTGTCACAAGGACTTGGATTCCCTCGTTAAAGCTGCTCTGGCGGTGGGCAGCAGGCAAGAGCTGAGGCAGCTTGAGAAAGCTGAGAGCAAAGGCCGGCGTTTCCATGGTGATCGCATTCCTGAGATACCAAGTGAGGGAGAGCAAGGTCATTCTCGTTCGGAGCCGATGGAAATGGACTCTGCCCGCGCGCGGGAAGATTCAAAGGCTCAACGGCCAACTCACAAGGTGGCAAAAGACGGGCAGGCTGCCAAGAAATGTTTTATCTGCCAGAAACCAGGGCACTTTGCCAGAGTGTGTCCTGAACATCGCAACTGGCAGGGAATGGTGGGGGCTTCCTCCCAGATGGGAGAGGGGGGAGTCCAAATGCAGGGAAACGCCAGTGCCTGGCTGGGAATGGAGCGGGGCAGCAGCCAGGCAGCAATGGGACTGAACCAGACCTCCACCAGGACACCCCCAACCAGGCATAATTGTGAGGGTGTTGCTGGACCTCCCCAATGGCCATGCTATAGCGGTCCATGCCCTCTTGGACTCAGGAGCGAGTGCCAATTTCTTCAGCAGGGACTTCGCTGCGCAGCACCAATTGCATTTACTACCTTTGGACTTTCCGCTACAAGTGACCACCATTGATGGGCGGGAACTTTTGGGAGGGGAAGTGACCCATCAGGGCCCCCCCCCATGAGAATGAGGATTTCAACGCATTCCGAAACGATTGCTTTCCATGTGGCAACGCTGGCGGGCCCACCCATTATTTTGGGCATGAGTTGGTTGGCCTTGCACGATCCGGTGGTCTCCTGGCATCAGCGTAACCTGACGTTTGGATCGGCGCATTGCTTGGAGAACAGTTTGGGAGTAAAGGAGCTGCGAGTTGGTAGTGCCAGAGTGGCGGCTACGTGTGCAGGAGAGAAAGGCGGCATTCCTCCAGAATATATGGACTTGGCAGAGGTTTTCAGTGAAAGAGAAGCAGAAACGCTGCCGCCGCACAGGCCGTACGATTGTCAGATCAACTTGATCCCGGGGGCCAAATTACCGGCAGGAAAACTGTACTCTATGTCCGATCAGGAGATGGAGGACTTAAGAGCCTTTATAGACAAGAACTTTATATATATATATATAAGATATTTATTAAGCTTTTTTAAAGTATTACAATAAAAATGAAAAAGCAACAAAAATACAAAATAAAAATAGTTAAAAGCACACAGATTTTCCATTGCTTGTTTTCCTTTAGCTTGTTTCCCGGACCTCCTCATGCCTCCCTTTTTTGTATTCCAGTTCAATTTGTTGGTTCAGCAAATCCTTACCCTTCTTTATTTATCCTAATCTTTAGTCTTAAAATAATAACGTTAAACTTTTACCTATTAACAACCCATTTTTCATAATCCCTTAAAGCATTACAGCTGGAAACCACTTAATTTCTATCCAACATCATTCTAACATTCATTAATTTTACAATAATTCTGTAGATAGTCTTTGAATTTCTTCCAATCTTCTTCCACCGACTCTTCTCCCTGGTCTCGGATTCTGCCAGTCATTTCTGCCAGTTCCATATAGTCCATCAGCTTCATCTGCCATTCTTCCAGAGTGGGTAGATCTTGTGTCTTCCAATACTTTGCAATGAGTGTTCTTGCTGCTGTTGTGGCATACATAAAAAAGGTTCTATCCTTCTTTGGCACCAATTGGCCGACTATGCCCAGGAGAAAGGCCTCTGGTTTCTTCAAGAAGGTATATTTAAATACCTTTTTCAGTTCATTATATATCATTTCCCAGAAAGCCTTAATCCTTGGGCACGTCCACCAAAGGTGAAAGAATGTACCTTCAGTTTCTTTACATTTCCAACATTTGTTATCCGGCAAATGATAAATTTTTGCAAGCTTGATTGGGGTCATGTACCACCTGTATATCATTTTCATAATATTCTCTCTTAAGGCATTGCATGCCGTAAACTTCATACTTGTGGTCCACAACTGTTCCCAGTCAGCCATCATTATATTATGTCCAACGTCTTGTGCCCATTTAATCATAGCAGATTTCACCGTTTCATCCTGAGTATTCCATTTCAACAGCAAGTTATACATCTTTGACAAAATCTTAGTTTTGGGTTCTAACAGTTCTGTTTCTAATTTTGATTTTTCCACCTGGAAGCCAATTTTCTTGTCCAAATTATATGCCTCCATTATCTGATAATAATGAAGCCAGTCTCACATTTTATTTTTTAGTTTCTCAAAACTCTGCAGTTTCAGTCTATCTCCATCTTGTTCCAAAATTTCCCAATATTTCGGCCAATTGGCCTCCATATTGAGCCTTTTCAGAGCTTTCGCTTCCATCGGTGACAGCCACCTTGGCGTTTTGTTTTCCAATAAATCCTTATATCTTATCCAAACATTAAACAATGCTTTCCTGACAATATGGTTTGTAAATGCTTTATGCGCTTTAACCTTGTCATACCACAGATATGCATGCCATCCAAATACATTGTTAAAACCTTCTAAGTCCAAAATGTCTGTGTTTTCAAGAAGTAGCCATTCTTTCAACCAGCAAAAAGCTGCTGATTCATAGTAAAGTTTAAAGTCTGGCAGGGCAAATCCACCCTTTCCTTTGCATCGGTTAATATCTTAAATTTTATTCTGGGCTTCTTGCCCTGCCAGACAAATCTAGAAATATCTCTCTGCCACTTCTTGAAACAATCCATCTTGTCCACAATTTGCAATGTTTGAAACAAAAACAGCATTCTAGGCAATACATTCATTTTTATCACAGCAATACGACCCAACAGTGAAAGCTTCAAATTTGACCAAATTTCTAAATCTTTTTTCACTTCCGTCCAACATTTTGTTAGGATATTTCCGTTCCACCTTAAAAGGGAGCAGGCTTTGTGAGTCAGAGTCTGCGTATTTCCTGTTCACAGGATGTTTATGTTTTCTGTTGCTTTCGTTTTCTCTCTGGTGTCGCAGACACTAAATCAGCAGGCAGTCATGTTTTTCTGTGTTCTGATCAACGCTGAATAAACTTGTAAATAATGCTCTCCTGAGTGCAACTTTTGGCTGTGCTAATTGCTGATAGAGTGTGCATGAGCTCTAGAATGTGGCAAGATATTTTCTAGAAACTCATGTCGCTGCGTGCCTACGGGAGGTCGATGGATCGTCCGGCAGACGGCTTGGGGGCCTCGATGGACTTTATCTCCCTGGCAGTATCCCAACAACAGGTTTCGGGCCCAGATTCACAGCACTTACAGGAGAGTAAGACTGCGACAGACTGCTGAAAGGTATGTGGAGGAAAAGCGAAAGTAAGGCTTTTCTGTTTGCCGCGACAAGGGCCTTTGATGTCCGGCTGGCCTAATTGGTCTGGGAGTCGAGCCAAACAGGCCTCATGATTTATGAGCTGCTGAGATAAGACGTCTCTGAAGTGAATAAGATTCACAGCTCAAGTAAAAGACTGAGATGGATCTTTTACAATCCTCAGAAACTGCTCCGTCTCCACCAAAGCTAAATGGCCACAACTATCAGACCTGGGCAAGGTACTGTGAGGGCCAGATGAGGAAGCTTGGAGTGTGGAATACCGTTTCTGAGGACCCCCCAGCCCCTGTGACAGATGAATGGACGGCACAGGACTCAAGAGCCATGGGGATAATTTTGCTCTCAGTAGCTCCTGAAGAGTTAATCACCCTGGCTGGCAAGGCCAGTGCCCGTGAGATGTGGGACGGGCTTAGAGCCTGTCATCTCCGACAAGAGGCTGGGTCTGTGTTGCTTTATTTCAGAAAGCTGCACAGGAAGCGTTTGGAGCCAGGGGAAGACCTTAGAGCCCACGTTTTACATTTGCAGCATCTCAGACAGGAATTGACTCAGAGAGGTTTCAATATGCCTGAGTCACTGTTTGCAATTCTCATCCTGGACTCCCTGGATGAAAGCTACCATGCCGTGGCAAGTCAGCTGGCGACCCTCCCTGCGCAAGACCTCACTGCTACAAAGGTCTTGGCGACTTTGCAAAATGAATACGATAGAAGGAATGCAGCTGAGTCGGCTTGTGCGCTCCAGGGGGAGCAATGTGGGACAGCATTCCAGCCTCCAGGGGGAGCCAACGCTTTGGCAGCTGTGAAGTGCTGGAACTGTGGGACCCAAGGTCACACTCAGAAGTTTTGTCCAAAGACTGGAAATAAACAAAGGAAGAAGCCAGCAGATGGCAAGAAGCAGAGGGGGGGTGGAAAGCCCAAGCCAGGGAAAAACAATGCTTTGTTTGCTGGCACAGCCTCACCAAAGGCTAAAGGCAAGTCTGATGGCCAGGAGCAGGGGGGCAAGCTGCAAAAGCCCACGCCGGTGGAAAACAAGGTTTTGCTTGCCAGAAAGACTGCTCCAAAGGCCAAGGCCAGGTTTGTTGTTGATTCAGGCTGTACCCGCCATGTGTCGAAAGACCGCCACCTGTTTATCTCCTTCAAACCTCAAGAAGGTGAGATCCACCTGGCTGATGGAAAGACGTTGCGAATCGCAGGAGAAGGGACTGTGAAACTGGCAAGTCTGCACACTACCATCAAAGATGTACTATATGTTCCAGGTGCTGCAGACAATTTGCTCAGTGTCCCACAGCTGACTGGGCGTGGTTTTGAGATTTCCTTCAAGAGGAGCGTCTGTGTCATCAGAAAAGGCAAAGAGGACATTTTGCATGCAAAGTTTATGGATGGCTTGTTCTGTATAACTTATGATGACAATGGTGCTGTTGTGTCTAATGTTGATTCTTGTTGTGTTGCACAAACTAACAAAGTTCTTCATGCAGGATGCATTCACGATGCACACAGAAGGTTTTGCCATCTCTCTTGGAAGGCACTGGCCAAGATGCCAGAGATGGTTGAGGGTTTGAACATCAAACCCTGTAAGTTTCACATGAAATGTGTATCTTGTGCAGAGAACAAGGTGAAGGTTGCTCCAAAAGGCAAGGAGTCTAGCAGGCAGGCTTCCAAACCCTACCAGCTAGTGCACGCAGACCTGGTTGGTCCACTTGCGCCCTCTTTGGGTGGAGCAAGGTACTTCATGGTTCTAATTGATTCTTTTTCCAGGTACATTCATGTGTTTATGCTCGAGCAGAAATCGCAAGCGTTTCCTAAGTTCAAGGCATTCTGTGCTTGGTTGGAGAATGTTCACGGTAAACGCATTGGTTGTTTGTTTACTGATCGAGGCGGGGAGTTCACTTCTCAGCAGTTTGAAGCTTTCCTGACTGAGAAGGGAATCCAGCATGACTTGTCAACGCCTAGATCGCCATGGATGAATGGGCTTGCGGAGCGAGCAAATCAAACGTTGCTGCAAGGAATGAAAACATTGTTGCATGATGCCAATCTCCCTGATAAGTTTTGGGGGGAGGCTCTGTCGAATTTTGTTTACACTTTTAATCGCAGATTGTCATCACCTATTGGTTGTACTCCCTATGAGAAGATGTTTGGTAAGAAACCCAACATCAAACACATGAGAATCTTTGGTTCTGACATGTGGGTACACACCCCACAGAGCAACAAGCTTGGGAAGCGTGGGGCACATGGTTTGTTCATGGGGTACGAAAAAGGTGCATACAGGGTATGGATGACCAACTCTAAGTCCATTAAGTTCACAAAGAGTGTTGAGTACAATCCTAAGTGGGGGGAAAATGTGGGAATTTTCCAGAGTTACCCAGAGGAGGATGAAGGTGATGTCAAAGAAGCAGCTAAAGCTGAGGAAGCTGCTGAGGATGATGATGACGATGATGATCAGAGTTCGGATTCCAGTTCAGTGGGCGGCGCTGCTGCTGGTGTCAGTGACAGTGATGACACAGCAGACTACAAGAGCGCAAAGGCCTCAGTCAGACCATCTGATGCGTCTGACAATGAACTGGAAGAACCACTGTTCACCATTGGTCACTTTTCTCCTAAGAAGGAGGAGATGAGTCCAGAAGACTTGCGTCTAGTACGCAGATCTGAAAGAGCCACCAAGGGCAGACCTCCAAAGAGATTTGCTGATGAGTTTGCTAAGACAGCAACTGCTGTTCTTAGTAGCTCAGAGAAGGTGTGGGAACCTTCAAGCTTCAAAGAGGTTCAGGAGTTAACCTCTAAAGATGCTGAGCCTTGGCTTAATGCCATGAAGGCTGAAGTTGATTCCTTGAATAGGAACCAAACTTGGGAACTGGTACCGGTAGTCCCAGGGATGAGACTGGTTGGCAGCAAATGGGTCTTCAAGGCCAAGACAGACCAGAATGGCAAGGTTGTCAGACACAAAGCCAGATTGGTTGCCAGAGGTTTTTCACAGGTACCAGGACAGGATTACCACGAGACCTACTCACCCACAGTCAAATATGAGAGCATTCGGCTGATGCTCAAGATAGCTGCGGAGGAGAAACTGCATGTTTCCCATCATGACATTAATACAGCTTTTTTGTACGGGATTTTGGAGGAGGAGCTGTTTATGCTTCCACCTGATGGGATGCAGATACAGAAGGGAATGGTCTGTAAACTGCGGAAATCCTTATATGGTCTCAAGCAGAGTGCCAGGTGTTGGAACACAAAACTCACTGAGACGTTGCTTTCTCTAGGTTTTCACCAGGGCAAAGCTGATCCATGTGTGTTTGTCAAGGAGGAGGGGCAAAACAAACTGTATTGTTTATGTTTTGTTGATGATCTTCTGATGTTTTGGAAGAATCAGGCTTTCTACCAAAGCACCCTAGCTCAGCTGAAGGAGCACTTTGACATGAAGGATCTTGGTGAGGTATCCAACTATCTTTCTCTGCAGGTGGAGAGGGACCAAGCAGGTAATTTTCTGGTACACCAAACACAGAAAATTGCTGATGTATTAACCAGGTTGAATTTGGTTGATGCAAACCCAGCAGACACACCGATGGTGACAGGTTACCAGGTAGATAGTACTGCTGAAGCGTTTTCTGACACTACGCTGTACAGATGCATTCTAGGCAAGTTGAATTTCATTGCTAGATGCTCAAGACCTGACATAGCTGTAAGCTGTAACCTGCTTAGCAGACATGCCAACAATCCTACTGTTCAGGATTGGAAAGCTCTGAAGCGCATAGCCCGCTATTTGAAAGGGACTTTGCACTACAGGCTGAGGTTCACCAGTCAGAAGACTGGAGGTCTTGAAATCTTTGCAGATGCAAGTTTTGGAAGTGACACCACGGATGGTACAAGCACTTCTGGAGTATGCTACATGTACAACCACTGCCTGTTTGACTGGTTGTGCAAGAAGCAGACGACAGTGAGCCTAAGTTCCTGTGAAGCAGAACTCAATGCTCTGTCATTTTCACTCATGGATTGTGAATGGTTGATGCAACTGTTTAAGGACATCAGAGTTTCTGTGAAATGTCCTGTACAAGTGTATCAAGACAATAGATCGTGTTTGGCTTTGCTGAACTCAGAGAGTTGCAAGCAAAGGACCAAGTACTTGCAGATTAAGCTACATCGTGCAAGAGAGTGTATTCAGAAAGGACTCATTCAGGTGTCCTACATGCCAGGAAATGAAATTCCTGCTGATCTGTTGTCTAAGGTTGTTAACAGAGAACAACTTAAGGTTTACGTACAAAGGTTGCAATTGGGTTGAACCACAGGTACTACAGGTTACACGGAAAGGGGGAGGATGTTAGGATATTTCCGTTCCACCTTAAAAGGGAGCAGGCTTTGTGAGTCAGAGTCTGCGTATTTCCTGTTCACAGGATGTTTATGTTTTCTGTTGCTTTCATTTTCTCTCTGGTGTCGCAGACACTAAATCAGCAGGCAGTCATGTTTTTCTGTGTTCTGATCAACGCTGAATAAACTTGTAAATAATGCTCTCCTGAGTGCAACTTTTGGCTGTGCTAATTGCTGATAGAGTGTGCATGAGCTCTAGAATGTGGCAAGATATTTTCTAGAAACTCAAGTCGCTGCGTGCCTACGGGAGGTCGATGGATCGTCCGGCAGACAGCTTGGGGGCCTTGATGGACTTTATCACCCTGGCAGTATCCCAACACATTTTTCATAGTTATCTTTAAATAAGTTCCCATTTTTGGCTGTCATATTAATCCCCAGGTATTTCACTTTCTTAATCACAGTCAAACCTGTCTCATTCTGAAACCTCTCTCTTCAATCGGTGTTAAATTTTCTCTAAAACCTTAGTTTTTAACTTGTTCAGTTTAAATCCTGCCACTTGACCAAATTCTTGAATTAGTTCTAAAACCCTTTTAGTACTAGATTCTGGCTCCTGTAACGTCAATACTAAGTCATCTGCAAATGCTCTCAGTTTGTACTGTTTGGCTCCGACCTGTATGCCTTTAACCATATTCTAATCATATTCAGCAGAACCTCCAGGACCGATATAAAAAGCAGTGGGGAGATTGGGCACCCCTGTTGTGTCCCTTTTTCTATCTTAAATTCTTCCGTCACCACATTATTTACAATTAATTTAGCCTTTTGTTCAGAGTTTATTGCACCTATACCATTTTCAAAACCTTGGCCTACACCCATCCCCTGTAGGTTCTTCTTCATAAAACTCCAAGAGATGTTGTCAAAGGCTTTCTCCGCGTCCACAAATATCAGAACTGCTTTAGTATTTATATTCACTTCTAATTTTTCCAAAATATCAATTATATTCCTCAAATTATCAGACAAGTGTCTTCCCGGGAGAAAGCCCGCTTGGTCTTTATGAATCTCTTCCATCAATACTTTTTTCAATCTCTTGGCTAAAATGTCTGCAAAAAGTTTGTAATCCACATTAAGTAACGATATAGGGCAGTAGTTCTTAAGCTGAGTCTTTTCAGTTTCTGTTTTCGGTATAAGTGTAATGTACGCCTCTTTCCACGACTCTGGTGCCCTTTTCCCTTCCAATATTTCATTGCAGACTTCCTTCAAAGGTTGTAATAGCCACTCTTTCAAAGATCTATAATATCTAGAAGTCAGCCCATCCGGTCCTGGAGATTTGCCCAATTGCATATTTTGAATGGCACCTTCTACTTCCTGTTCAGATATTTTGTAGTTCAACATTATTTTGCTTTCTTGGGAGATTTTTTGTAATCCATTTGTCTTCAAAAATCGGTCTATGTCCATTTCTTTCTGTGGCCCTTGTGTGTATAATTGTTTAAAATACCTCTGGAAACAGTTTCTAATCTCGATTGGGTTATCTATATTCTTTCCTTCCACTTCTAAGTTTGTAATGGTATTTAATTTTTGTCTTTTTTTCATTTGCCAGGCCAACAGTTTTCCACATTTGTTAGCTGATTCAAATGTTTTTTGTCTCATTTGTTTAATTTTCCATTCTATTTCCTGATTCATCATTTCCATATATTGTACTTGGTATAATTTTATTTCTCTCAAAATCTCCTGCGACTTTGGTTTTGCTCTCAGTTTCTTCTCACTTTCTTTTATTTTCTCCAAAATTTTATCTTTCTTCTCATTTTGACTTCTCTTCTTTATTGCATTCTGTTGTATCAGAAACCCTCTCATGACAGCTTTGCTTGCATCCCAGATTACTCTTTTTTTCTACATTGGTGTTCATATTTATTTCAAAATAGTCTCTCAAAGTTTTTTGGGCCTTTTTATACACTTCTTCATCTCTAAATAAGGTGTCATTCATCCTCCATCTGAAGGAGCCAGTTGATATTTGTTTCATCTCCATCCTTACAGCGTTATGGTCGGAGCAAGTTTTTGGGCAGATTTCCACTTTCTTTATCTTTGGTGCCATTCCTCTAGTTACCCATATTTGGTCAATTCTAGTCCATGTCATCTTGGCTTCAGAGAAGAAGGTTCCCTCTCTTCCCAAGGGGTTCTTTACTCTCCAAATGTCCACTAAATCCATATTGTCTGTCATCTCAAAAATGTTTTCGGTAGTCTACCATCCTTGGTAACTACCTGTCTTTGTGCCTTGTCCATGTTTGTAGATACTACTCCATTCATGTCCCCCATCAAAATCAGATTGTAATCCAAATAGTCCAATAAGATCTCGTGCAACTTTTTAAAGAATTCAGATTTCCCCTCGTTCGGTGCATAAATTCCTACGATCAAAAATTTCTCTCCTTGAACTTGAATTTCGATTGCCAAAAATCTGCCTTGTTCATCTTTAAAGATTAATTTCGGTAATAATCTCTCCTTTGCATATATCACAACTCCTCTTTTTTTAACTTTGTCAGTATAGACAAGAACTTAAGGAGAGGTTTCATTAGGGAGTCCAGGGCAGTAGGCGGAAGCCCCGTGTTCTTTGTAGACAAGAAGGCCACGCGAGAGAGGAGGCTGGTCGTGGACCTCCGGCGAATCAACGCCCAGACGGTCCCCATGGCCTTCCCAATGCCAAGAATCGATGACGTATTGGCGAGGTTGCGAAAAGGGAAAACTTTCACTAAACTGGATCTGAGAGGAGCCTACAATCTCATCAGGGTGCGAGAGGGGGACGAGTGGAAGACAACCATGTTCACACCACTAGGAGCATTCAAATAACTCGTTATGCCCTTCGGTTTACAGTGTGGTAGCCCGTGCTTCCAAGCCTTCATGCACCACGTGTTGGGACCTTTGCTCTACAAAAACTGCGCTGCATTTTTGTATGACATACTTATTTACTCTCCAGACGAAGAACAGCACGTCAAGGACGTGCGGGAAGTTCTATTTTTTTTTATTTTATAAATATTTATTAAGATTTTTACAATATTACAAAACGAAAAAGAAAAAAGAAAAAATACAAAGTAAAAATAGTTAAAAACAATTCCAACTTTTCATCACTTATCTTTCATTTACTTGTTTCCCGGACCTCCTCATACCTCCCCTTTTTGTATTCCAGCTCAATTTATTAGTTCAGCAATTCCTTTCCCTCCTTATTTTATCCTGATCTTTAATCTTAGTATAACATTAATTTACCTGTTAAAAATCCATTTTTTTTCATATTCTTTTATACCAATACAGCTAGAAACCACTTAACTTCAATCCAGCATCATTCTAACATTCATTAATTTTGCAATATTTCTGTAAATAGTCTTTAAATTTCTTCCAATCTTCTTCCACCGACTCTTCTCCCTGGTCTCGGATTCTACCAGTCATTTCCGTCAATTCCATGTAGTCAATCACCTTCATCTGCCATTCTTCCAGAGTGGGAAGGTCTTGTGTCTTCCAATACTTTGCAATAAGTATTCTTGCTGCTGTTGTGTTCTGGCTGCCGGGAGTGTTTTCTCTGCTGAGTGCAGCAACGCGTGCAGCTGGCAAGCTGACATTACCCCCACACCGCCCTTATGACTGCAAAATAGACTTGGTGCCAGAGGCCCAGATACCCACCAGTCGCCTCTATTCCATGTCAGAGACGGAACTAGCCAAGCTGAAGGAGTTCTTGCAGAAGAATTTGGCAAGGGGTTTTATCCGACCAACAAAGGCACCGGGGGGGGGGCAGTTTTCTTCGTAAGAAAGAGGGACACCCCGGAAAAAAGGCTGGTTGTGGACTATAGAAGGACCAACAAGGTCATGATTCCCAGCCGATACCCCTTGCCACATATTGGGGATCTGCTGGAGAGGTTGAGATCAGTGAAAATTTTCACCAAGTTGGACCTGAGGGGGGCCTACAACCTGATACAGGTGAGGGAAGGCGATGAGTGGAAGACGGCCTTTAATACAAGATATGGGACCTTTGAGTACTTAGTGATGCTGTTTGGGTTGCAATCGGGCACAGCCACCTTCCAGGCCTTCATCAATCATGTTTTGGCAGACTTGCTAGACAGGAATGTGGTATCTTACCTTGATGATCTTTTGATATACTCAGAAAGACCTGAAGAGCATGTGCAACATGTAAGGGAGGTGTTGCAATGGCTGAGGGCACATAGACTCTACGCCAAGCTGGAGAAGTGCCAGTTCCACATGACAGTGGTGGAATTTTGGGGGTATCGCGTGTCTCCGGGGGGGGGGGGGTGCATATGGATCCGGCGAAGGTGAAAGCGGTGTTGGAGTGGCAGAAGCCTAAGACCAAGAAGGACTTGCAGAGGTTCTTGGCCTTTGCTAACTACTACAGGAAGTTCGTGCCTAACTACTCGCAACTCACCACACCCCTCACTGACTGCTTGAGGGGCAAGAAGCTGTTCGTCTGGACGGAGGAGGCGCAGTGCGCGTTTGAGAGGCTCAAGGAGATGTTCGCCGCGAAGGAGTACCTGCACCACGCAGATCCGTACAGACCGATGGTAGTGGAGACGGATGCTTCTGAAAGGGCAGTAGGAGCAGTGCTGCTGCAGGAAGACAGCCACGGGGACTTACGGCCGTGTGCATTCCACTCGCGGAAGCTGAACGCCTCGGAACAGAACTACACCATTTGGGAAAGGGAGCTGCTGGCTATAAAAGATGCCTTGGAGACATGTAGCCATTTCCTAGAAAGTGCACGACACCAAGTGGAAGTGCGCACTGATCACAAGAACTTGGAATATTGGCAGACCGCGAGACAACTGAACCAGAGACAGATCAGGTGGTCGCAGTTCTTTGCCTGCTTCAACTTCCACATGCAATATGTACCGCGGCACCTGAACCAGAGGGCGGATGCCTTGTCCCGGAAACCAGAATACATGAGGGGAGAACAGAAGCAAGAATTGAAACGCATTCTGAAGCCAGAACAGTTGCAACTAGCGGTGACGTCGATTGTCGGAGTAGAGGAGTTCAAGCGCCAAACACATGGAGATGAATTTGCGCAGCAGAAACTGGCAGCGATACGTAACAAGGAGAACAGCGCTGAAGGATTCACTGAAAGGGAAGGTCTCTTGTTTAAGGGTGAGGTGCTCTACGTGCCAGAAGGGGATTTGCGGGCACGAGTCATGCGGCAGTGCCACGACAACCCGACGGC